GAATAAAATATTTCATTTACTTCCAATTGGAGAAACTAAACAGCAAACTGACAAACATGACTGCTTTCAGAAAACAGACATCATTGCTTCCAATAGACTGTAGAGAGGGGGAAGCACTAAACAGAGAGGCGGATCTCTCTTTAAATTCAGAGGCAGGAGCAAACAATTGGTTAGTCCAGGATAGATTGGCTAGAGTGACAGAAAGGTCCCTCCCAGCCACACCTACTAAAGGCAGCATGAAAGATTGTAAAAATCTCCAACATCCTCTAGATTCGCCAAATTAGCATTCTGTTCCCTGGAATTTTAGGGCTACAATGGGGTGCGTGCAAACTTTGTTATATCATACCGGTGGGTCAGGCAAGGTTTGGATGAAACTGCTTCTGGGCTGTCTGGTTGTGGAAACAAGCATGAGAGGTATCCAAGCGCATGAGCCCAGAATTAGGATAAAGCCCAGGCAATCTGGTAATACGGCAGCCCAGAGCAAGGGAGAACATGTTTTTCAGGCAAGTGGCAAAATGGACACAACCACTTCTACGGTGGCTGTGGCTGCCATTCCTGCTGAGGAATCCTGCGCTGCCCTACCTACAGCCCCCGTGACACAAGTGGAGTTTTTCCAAAGCACAGACACTACACAGTGAAATATAGGCAGTTGGATCAGTCCATGTCAATGGATGAGAAGCAACAGGTCTTTTGTAAAGCTAACGGCTCTTTGTTGTCCATTCAAGACGGAACTGCTTTCAAACACTTTACATTACGACAGAGTGGCATGCAACAAGAAAGGGGAAAATCCATTTCTCTCCCTGCTCTGGCAAGGATTCCACCTAAGTTCAGAGGCAAAAGTAAAGTTTGAGGGAGGTGGCAGATGGTGTCATCAAAGGATGTCAGAAAGGACCAGGGAAGCTGTGGCTACACTTCCCTCTGCCCATGCTCCTATGCCACTTCCTGACTTTCTCCAAATGGCATAATCGTGCAGGCACCCATCCATTCTCCCCCAGAGTCTCCTTTTGGGTGCCCCAAAACTGCAGAGGTACAAAACACAAATAAATATATTAGGAAAAACCCCCCCATATCCATGGGGGAGTGGTTCCAAGCCCCACTCTGCACAGATGGTGAAAACCATGGAAAACTATGCTATACATATCAGAAAGAAGTATTTTACCGTGTATTACCAGAACTGACCACTAGAGTGAGCGAGAAATAATACTAGGCATTCTTCAACAACAAGAATACAGAACATGGTCTCTGGGTCACCTCTAGTGGCCAATTCTGGTAAGTGCATTGTGAAAATATGTATTTTAGGGGTTTTTTAATTTTATTTTAATAGTTTCAGACTGCAGATAAATGAAATTGCAGATACCAGTCCCATGAATACATGGGTCCTGCTGTATTTCCTTGCTGACCCAGCAACACAGCCTCTTTGAGAAAAAAGAGCAATTAAAAAAACTTTTCTCCTCCAAGGTGGCCACCATTTCCTGGGTCTCCAGCCGTTGTCCTGAGACTTCACCACTTTAGTATCACCCTGTATTTCTCCCCACCCTGCCTCCCAGTTACTCGGTGACCCCTTGACAGGGTTGCATGACAAACCACCAGGAAAAAATCAAAGACGAGTCTCCATGTTGACGTGGGGTTTGCAAGCCGAAAGCCCCGCTGTCCGCTTCCTGCACCGAAGGTAGATCTAATCCCCCCTCTCTTCTCAGGCTTTGCACAATGGGCCCTAGCAAACCCCTCCACGTGAACACCCCACTTCGGGAGAGCAGGCCGCTCTCTCAGGTGGCCGGCACGAAGGTCTACCTGAAGCTCGACAGTGCCCAACCCACTGGCTCCTTCAAGATACGAGGCATCGGGCACTTCTGCAAAACGGTATGGAAAGGGGGGACATTCAGCGAGAATAACAGCTTTGGGTGGGGGGGCCAAGAGACCGCTGCACGGCCACGCCGTCCTGGTCCATTCCTCGGGTAATCTCCCTGCTCTGCCCTTTTCCACCTTGAGATGGGGAGACCCAAGGGAGAACGTATCGAGTTTAATCAGGACCATTTCTCTCCAGTCCCTGGCATGCAGCCCCCTTTTCTGTGGCTGTGCCTTTCGGGGCGTGGTACTCCACAGGGCTCAGTGCACACAGAATCACCACCACCGCTCCCCACATTCACTCTCCTTGCCTCGCCCAGGAGTATTGCACCCAGTAAAATGTTTTTGCCATGTATTACCAGAACTGGCCACCAGAGGAAGCCAGAGAAGCATTCTTCAACAAGAAGAATACAGAGCATGGTATTTGAGTCACCTCTAGTGGCCAGTTCTGGTAAATGCTGTGCAGCAGAAGGGCAGGGATACAAAGAGCAGAACAGCTTCAAGTTCTTCGAAGTGGTCCACCCCCTTTTCTCATTCACTGTGCAGAATTGTTTGGGGTTTCTCGTTAAGTCCACATAGAATACCATACAAATTTTTGCATGGCCCTTTCAAAATGTATGCATATTCTGTTGTATGGTACGGCATTTTGTGTGCACATTTTTTTTCCAAACGTGCTTTTTCTTTATTTTCTTTTTTGTTGTTGTTGCAAGCGATCCTTCTCACAAATACATTCCAGAATAATAAAGCTGACTCCAAAAAGACCTGCAAAGAATGCCTTTTCCATGTGAAATTAAGATGCCTGCTACTTCAACTTTTCTCTTCTTTTGCTTCCACAGTGGGCAGAACGTGGCTGTAAGGGTTTTGTCAGCTCCTCAGGTAAAAGGCTTAAATATATGTGTATTTAAATAAGTGATACTTCACAAAATCAATGGTTGCATTAATTTGAAATTATTTCAATGCCCAGTAGGCAAGCTGTAGAGATTTGTGCATAACTCTTTCCATTTCATGGGTATCATCCTCCTGTGTCTCACAAAGATACCAGGTACAGTGGTTGTCCATGCTGCCAATTTTCTCAGACGCAGTCAGACTGCACTAAGCGATGCATCGCTAAACATTTAAATAAAAAATTCTTTAAAATGAAAGGAAGAGCAGCAATGTTCCTGCCACCTAAAATCCACATTGGCCCAATGATAGGAACATTCAGAACCACCCTATTGAATTGAAATGAATTGAATTAGGAACCAAGGAATTTTAAGCCCCTGCTGGCCAGTAAAAAAAATTGCTTTGCAGCCCAAATAAATCAAATTGACCACAAATTGATAAATCGGTTTAAATAATGCTGAAACCGATTCAACTGCAGTTCTTATTGCTAGTAGGACAATAAGACTCATAGTTAATGGGCTTCAGGGAGCAGGTAACATTTTCAGGAGATGGCTATATTTTTCTGCCTCTCCAAGACAAAGCCGGATCTCATGGTGAGAGGTGCAGGCGCACGAAGATACTTGGGTTTTGCGTCGTCTTAAACGTTGGAGCCCCTTCTCCACCCATTTCCAGCTGATGTTCAGGCCCACTGGACTGAGCAGGAAGGCATGTCAATGGAAACTGTGTGACTGTCCCTCTCGCCCTTGCCTGCCCTTCCTCTGTGACATCATAAGCAACCACTCCATCCTACTAGAAGAACTTGCTCCTGATTTCAAGCTTGCACCTCAAAATGCCGGGGAATTGGACGCTGTTGGCCTGTTAGCACTACCTTTGTATCCAGTCTCTCTGCCAATGAGCCCAAGGCTATATCCCTGGTCCTTTTCCTCCTCCTGCCCAATGCATCCTCACACCAACCCTGTGATGCAGTGCAGTCTTCCTCGTTCTACCTTCAGAATTCCCTGTTTCCTTTGAGATAAGCAACCATCCTTGCAGGAATTAATGCAACAGCACTACTGTAGGAAGCCCTCCTTATGCCAAAACAAGGTAGATTCATCTTGAATGGGAAATCAGGACTCATTAACTTTACAAAACACATGTTCCCAGCAGAGCACTCTCACCTATATCATGAAGAACATGTGTATGTATTTCTAAATGTACCACTGCCTCACGGATGCTGAATGGATTTCTTCCCAGGGGGAAATGCTGGGCTGGCAGTGGCTTACTCGGCCAGGATGTTGGGCGTCCCAGCAACCATCTATGTGCCCACGTCGACGCCAGCTTTCACCATCAACCGTCTGAAAGACGAAGGAAGCAAAGTGTGTGTTGAGGGAGAGGTAAGTGTGAAGGAGGGGACCTCAAAGAATTCTGCGTCTGCCTTGAGCCCATAGCACAGAAAGTTACTTTTTAAAACCACTCATCTACCACCTGTTCTTTCTGTTATGTTTGCAATGTTTTAATTTATTATCTGTCCATTCTATTTATATACTGTTTTTTATCCAATATGCTGACAACTGTGTGTATAATTTTCCTTCTCCATACTTTGTCATTCCAACAGTCTTGTGAAGTAGATCAGGCTTAAAATAAAAAAAAAAAAAATGGCAGGGCCAAAACAACCCAGAGAGGAGAGAGAACCAAACTGAACTTCAAAGGCTTAATCTAACTCTTTGTCCACTATGCCACACTGATTTTCAAAACAATAAAGAAACTACGATGCCTGCTTCTTGGGAGGAAAGCAATGAGAAACCTAGACAGCATCTTAAAAAGCAGAGACATCACCTTGCTGGCAAAGGTCCGCATAGTCAAAGCTATGGTTTTTCCTGTAGTGATGTATGGAAGTGAGAGCTGGACCATAAAGAAGGCTGAGCACCAAAGAATGGATGCTTTTGTATTGTGGTGCTGGAGGAGGCTCTTGAGAGTCCCCTGGACTGCAAGGAGAACAAACCTATCCATTCTGAATGATATCAACCCTGAGTGCTCACCGGAAGGACAGATCCTGAAGCTGAGGCTCCAAGACTTTGGCCATCTCATGAGAAGACTCCCTGGAAAAGACCCTGATGTTGGGAAAGTGTGAAGGCAAGAGGAGAAGGGGAATGACAGAGAACGAAATGGCTGGACAGTGTCATCGAAGCGACCAGCATGAATCTGACCCAACTCCGAGAGGCAGTGGAAGACAGGAGGGCCTGGCATGCTGTGGTCCATGGGGTCACGAAGAGTCAAACATGACTTAACGACAAAACAACAACAAAGTGAAACCCCGTCCTCCACCTTGTGCAGCAACCAGAAGAAGATGACAGGACTGTATTTGAATAAATGTAGATGGTTGTACATGAAAATAAAATAAAACATCCCCTGAAAATAAACCCTATTGGATTTTTGGAGCAAAAATTAAGATAATACCCTCTCTTATTTTTGGGGAAACAGGGTATATTTCCCTATTTCTTAAAAGCAACTAAATAGCTAAATGCTACAAAGCAATCACCATCTATCTTCCTTGTTGCCACCTCAACACAGAGCATTGGGGCATTGCTTGAACCCTGCAATACTCATCTTACACTATTTAATGAGGCCACACAAACTGGTAACTGTAGTAATTATAAAATTGATAGTTATGCACAAAAGGAATGAATTTAATTAAAATAGTACAGTGATGTAGTTATACCATCCTTTTGGGAGAAATTAATTATAGCTCACAGTTTGCAACTAGTCATTTCCATGTTCTGCATCATCATTTTAGCTCAGTGGTTTAGGTACATGGCTGTGGAGCCAGAGGTTGGGGGTTCAATCCCCCCTCTGTGCCTCCTTGAGAGGGGCTGGACTGGATGATCCAGAAGGGTCCCCTTCCACCCCTGTAGATCTAAGATTACTTAACTGGTCATTACCACAGAATGTAGAAGATGCTTCTTCTCTCTTTGTTCTTTTCTCCCGTCAGAATTTCAGTGTAATAAAGTGAGCTTCTTTTCAACAGATGCTGGCTGAAAGCACAAAAGCAGCCAAAGAGCTGGTCAAGAACAACCCAGAATGGGTCTACGTGTCTCCATTTGATGACCCGCTCATCTGGTATGGGAGCTCTGAGCAAAGGTAAAGTGAGCTTCTTTTCAACAGATGCTGGCTGAAAGCACAAAAGCAGCCAAAGAGCTGGTCAAGAACAACCCAGAATGGGTCTACGTGTCTCCATTTGATGACCCGCTCATCTGGTATGGGAGCTCTGAGCAAAGGAGGATAGAGAAAATTCCATTTATAACAAGGATTTTTTTAAAATATACCAATATATTTCTATTGTGCCCTTGAGTTCTAATAAGGAAATACAGTAGGACCTCTGTATCCAAGCCCCCCACGGATGCTGAGAAACACAGATTATAGCAAATACTATTTGAATAGCAAATACAGTGGTGCCCCACAAGACAATGTTAATTCGTTCAGCGAAAATCGCTG